TTGGAAGATCCTGTTTTTTCTAGCTCAGTGTCCTGAGATTGACCACCCACTACCCACACAAATGCCTTTTCTGCTTGGTGAGTGGACAAGATAGGTAAATGGACAGTGTCTAAAATAAAGAGGCTCTTGGTGGATGGGCTGGCAAGCAGGGGTATCATGGATCATGGCAAAGTCACCACTAAGTGACTTTTTTCAAAGCTGTATTTTAATAAACATCTTTAAGGGAAGAATGAAATGAAATAGAACCAGATATTTAGGACCACTGGCAAACCCCTCTATTAATTCTGATTCAGCAGCTGATGTTCATACAGCATTTGTGTTAGTAAGAATTAGTGTTTCCTAACATAGAATGAGTTGAAGGTAGCTAAAGAATTTTATTAGGACCCTGTAACATGACAGGACCTGTTTGTGAGGAAGGATATAGGGAATACCAATGAAAATAAATTTTTGCCCAAGGCAGTCACTTGAGAATAGAATAGACTGAACGTGAATGTTCTTAAAAAGGAGATTTTACATATGAGAAGGGAAGTCTTGGATCTGTAATATGAGAGAGATAAGGGAACGTTTGAGTAAGTCTGAGGGAAAGGGATTCTTACTTTAGGGATGAATTAATGGAAGGGAGGTGTTAGGTGTAGCCAAATCACATTTGTTATAGTGTGTCTTGTGTTCCCATTTGCCTTGCCTTAAACTAAATGAGCTCAGTAGCCAAAAGGGACATTTCATTCTACCTACCTCTTCTCCCTACCCACCCCAATCCTTACACTTCATTCCTCTGACTGAATGCACATTGGGGAAACTTAGGAGAAAGAAAGTAATAAAAGGTTTCTTAGACATTCCTGCAGAGCTTCATAAGGCTGTCTGCTTGCCACTGAAGGTTTCCAGCACCATCAAGGCCTGGATCTTCTTTTTCCTTTGCCTGACCAGAGGATCTTGGCAGCCCCTCAACAGGGAGGCCTGCCTGATGAGACACAGGTTGTAGATGAAATGGTGACTGAGGTGTCTGAGGAACTCATCAGAGCCAACCCCCTCAGGGCAGAAGTAGAAGAAATTGATGAAAGTGTTGAGGAAGAGGTGGTGGCAGAAAACCCATGCAAGAAGCATCACTGCAAACGTGGGTGTGATAGCTGGATAAGAACAACACCCCCATGTGCATGTGCCACCACCCTACCAGCTGCCCTGCCCCAATTACTGAATTTCACAAGGTGTGCAGCAATGCCAACAAGACCTTCGACCTGTCCTGCTACTACTTTGCCACCAACAAGTGCAACCTGGAGGGCACGAAGAGCCACAAACTCCACCTGGACTACATTAGTCCCTGCAAATATATTCCCACCTGCCCTCAGCCTTCAAGCTGACTGAATTCCCTCTGCACATGTGGGACTGGCTCAGGAACATCCTGGTCACTCTGTGTGAAAAGGATGAGGGCAACAACCTTCTGACCAAGAAGCAGAGTTGCAGGTGAAGAAGATCCATGAGAACAGAAGTGCCTGGAGTCTGGAGCACATTCCATGTTGCCGCTGGCCCAGGACTTCGAGAACTACAACATGTACATCTACTTTGTGTGCTGGCAGTTGGCCAGCTGGACCAGCACCCCACTGATGGGTACCTGTCCCACACTAAGCTCGTCCCACTGCTTGCGCCTCATCCTGATGGAGCACTTGGACCACCTGCTTTTTTGAGATCTGTGACCTGAACAACAACAAGTACATCACTCTGGACGAGTGGGCCAGCTACTTTGGCATCAGGGAGCAGGATAGAGACAAGTAAAAATATAACCGTGATCTAAATCCACACTTTCTTTGGTGGTATCAGATTCTGTCTCTTTAACCTTTCCCCTCTTATTTCAAACCTCAAATGTTTGAAATGTTTGCATGGTATGTTATTCTGCCTGGGGGCAAGGTGCTAATATAGATTTTTTAAAAATGAGTACATCATTGGTGCTAAAAATGGAAATGGTAACCCAAGTCATGAAATCTTAGATAAAACTTGGCCCCTTGCTCACCCACTAATAGTCCCACATTTCCTGGTCATTTGAAGCACTGGCCGTTGTTTTGGTGGCAAATGGGTGGGAACTTTTATCTGCTCACATCTTCCTTCAACACATAGAGCATCTCAGAGTTGCTCTGTGTTCCTCTGTTTCAAACTAATGCTTACCAAGTGAGACTTTTGTGTTAATTTTATTTCAGGGTGTTGGCTGCAGGTGAGGTCTTTCCCACATGGCCTGAAGGTGGGCAAAGGGAAGTAACATGTGAGGTTGGCAAGAATGTTTCTGGGACTAGAGGACTAGTGGTTGGAGAAATTTCTGGAAAACCTGATGACCAGAACAGCAGATAACTAGTGTTTGTGTGGGGCTAAACTGAAAGAACATGGGGGTGTGTTATAAAAAACTATGTAATCTCTCACTTAAACCCAGTTCCTCACCATTTCCCCCCTCTACCAGGGCCAATTTTTTCACCTTACGCTGTTGGTCAAACTTGGGAACAGGGTACCATCAGTTCTCGAGAATCCACAAAGCCTTGGGGGTTAGAGGCATGTGGTGTTGGATCACTATGTACTATAGGGCTTCTCCTCTCCTGTCTTTAGGAGAGGCAGGACTGGGAAGGGGTTTCAGCCATGAAAGGCAAAATCAAAAGTGAGGTGTAGAAAGTTGTAAAACAGAAAAAGTGGAGTTAATGAATTGGTTTTGTTTTTGAGTTTTTTGTTTGTTTCAGATGGCTGTCATGAGAATTCTTTTCCTTGGTTTCTAGCATGTCCTCCTTTTCTTCCCTCCCCCCTTTTCCTTCTGTTAATCAAGAGAAAATTCAGTCAGTGGAATGTCAGATCTCATAAGCTGAGAACTTGTTCCCCTACAAGCATTTAATGAAAAAGCTGCTTACTGCCCTGGCTGGTGTAGCTCAGTGGATTGAGCACAGGCCTATGAACCAGAGGATCCCAGTTCGATTCCCAGTCAGGGCACATGCCTGGGTTGCAGGCCAGTTCCCAGCAGGTGACGCACCAAAGGCAACCATACATTGATGTTTCTCCTCCTCTCTCCTTCCCCTCTAAAGATAAATAAATAAAATCTTGGAAATTTTTAACAAAAAAAAAAAAAAAGCTGCTTACTAACTGTGCAAAGTCTTGCCATGATATGGAGAGTTTGACAAATCTTTAAAAACAAATGTAACGACTTAAAAAACCAAAAGTTTTCCTAGTTGGAGAAGTGAAATGAATTATTCAGGTGGCAAGCAAGTGTTTGGTAATCATTTTGTAAGACATCCTTGAGTAAGAAAATGAAGACTGGATTGAGAGAACTGATTATTAAATTTCCCACTAGGTTGTAAATATATATATCTATAAAAGATTTTGTGAGAAATTTTGGGAATTTTCAAGGTTAATTTCAACTTGTGCCAAATAATTTGCAATGTCACCAAAATTTGAAACCAGATCTAGTTATATCAGACTTAAGAAAACAGATCATAGAATCCTAAGATTGATGTAGTGCTGAGAATTTCTTACAAGGAATTCAAAGAGCCCATGTGTTTTTCTTTTCCCCTTTGACCTCTAAAATAACACTGCTAAAGATAGAAGACTTGTTAAATTACTTACCTAAAGATAGTGCTCTTTTTGGAGTTGTTCTTTTAGACTCAAATAAATGCGATGGGTTATAAAAAACCTGTTTAAGATAAGTCAGATATGCTAAGATTTTTTTTCTTTTTGTATGAGTATTTCCTATTTACTGATGAGCTTTTGTCTTTGTTTCTGGTAAAAAGAAGGGCAGACAGTAACATTTTGAGGTATATTGCCTCAAACTATTTAAAATTATTGTAGTCTGTCAAACTATTTAAAATTATGTCCTGTAGTTATTTCACATAATAAAATGTTGCATTTCAGGACAGTTAGAGTAGAATACATTCTTTTCTTGTTAGAGAATATTAAATTTATCAACTAAAGCAACAACAAATTTTTATGGTACTCTTTTTTTATTTTTTGGCTTTCTTATAATTCAAGGACTTAATCTGGACAAATATATTTTTCTTATTGAAATGTCAGAGATTGTAATAAGGCTACAGTAGCAGAAATGGAAAAGAAGAAGGATACTCTAGAAATAGACATTATTATTCAGCAGAGAAAATCAGTCTCTTATCTTCCTGACTCTGGTCCAAAGGCAGTATTTTTTGTATTTTGAAGCCAAGTGTAAAACAATATCCATCTATTTTAAATTATCAGTATAACTCATTTAAAAATCTATTAGGATAGCACTTTGGAAATCCTATAATTGTTTTAGAGAAAGAATTTTCTATTTCTCATTAGAAAATTCCCTTTCCTTATACAGGGCAGGGCAAAAGTAGGATTACAGTTGTAAAGAACATGTTGTACATATACTGATGGATATTTAGGTTGTTTCCAGATCTTGGCTATTGTAAATAATGCAGCAATGAACATAGGGATGCATATATCTTTTTGAGTTAATGTTTTGGATTTCTTCAGATAAATACCCAGAAGTGGAATTCTAGGTAATAAAGTAGTTCTGTTTTTAATTTTTTGAGGAACCTCCATACTTTTCCAAAGTAGCTGAACCAATTTGCAATTTTACTAACCGTTCATGAGGGTTCCCTTTTCCCAACATCTAACTAACATTTGTTGTTTGTTGATTCATGAATGATAGCCATTCTGACAGGTGTGAATTTCACAGTGTTTAATCTTAAAAGTATTCTGAAACTATTTGATAAGAGTAGAGTATAGCAAATATTCCACATTAACTCTTGTGAACCTTTTATTGAATTCATTTAAAAAGTATGATTTTTCATATTTTCTTTTTAGAAATTTTTCAATTCTTTGAATTTCTCATATTCCCCAAGCTACTTATTTTAATGTATATGGAATCAATACAGAATGCAGTTGTTAATTTTTATGATGTTTATTCTGCTTGTGGTGACTTAGAAATCATGTTTGATTTTCCTTTAAGATTTTACATGTGAGAACAATTGGAAAAATTCTTAGCAATTCTTATTTGTCATTAGGGTGAGGAGCATGACAGATGGGCAATACATTTTGATTCATTAAAGAGTTATCCTGGTTCTCAGTCTCAACTGTCCTCTCGGTCATCACACAAACAACCAGAGTACTTCTGTGTCTCTCCGGACACTCAGGAGCTAGCTGATATCAGCAGTGTTTATACACCTACAGCTGGAAGCCAGATTGAACCTTCAGAAGAGGAACATATAGCAAAACCTGTTACAGGTGTGGTGATGGCAAACAGTCAAAAAACAAAGTAAGTGCATACTAATTTATTGACGGTTTAAAAAGTCTGTGTTCTTTACAAAGACTGTTATTACATTTATAGTATATCTTAACTGATTTCAGTTTTGGTATTTTTCTTCAGTGTAGAAATAATTAGACCTGGCTGGTATAGCTCAGTGGATTGAGTGCTGGCCTGAGAACCAAAAGGTCGCTGGTTTGATGCCCAGTAGCGGACAGTGAGGTCCCCAGTAGGGGGCATGTGAGAGGCAACCACACATTGATATTTCACTCCCTCCCTTCCCTCTTTCTAAAAATAAATAAGTAAAATCTTTTTTTAAAAAGCTGCGGATTGATAGTTGCAGGGTAGTCATGGAGATATGGGGAAAACTAAGTCATTAAATTTTTACTAAAAAAATAAAGTAGAAGTAATTAGTAGATATATCACAAACAAAAATGATTTAGTACCTCATTAAACACATATTTTGGTGGCTTTAAATAGTTAATGTATCTCTTTGCAGCTTCCTTCGTTCGATGACTGCCCTCTTGGACCCCGCTCAGATTGAGGAACGAGATAGGCGGCGACAAAAGCAGTTAGAACATCAGGTATTGCATTGTAAAGTATTGTTCTTTGTCTTATTTATGGGCAGTAGACACCTAAGTAAATATAAATAAAATTTCATTATACATTTACAGCATAGGCCTTGTTCAGTCTTTTGATGAATCCAATTTGTACTTCAACTGGCATTATATTAAAGTTATACTCATGTTGAGAATCAGACAGTATCATGTAGTACAGCCACCTGCCTTCCAGAAGAAAAAAAATTTTGTTTAGACTGAGGGGAAGGGAGGAAGAAAGAGAGGTAGAGAAGCATCAGTATGTGGTTGCTTCTCATACACCCACACTGGGGACCCAGCCTGCAATGCAGGCAGGTGCCCTGACTGGGAATCAAACCTGTAACCTCTTGGTTCACAGTCCCAGGCTCAATCCACTGAGCCACACCAGCCAGGGCGAGATTTTTAATATATATGTTGTATATATCAAATGGCACTAAATCTTCAGTTAGTATTGGATACTGTTTTCATTAGTTTAGTTAATTCTGTCACAATGAGAATTACTTTCTGTTATACTGATAAACTTATTTTAGAAACACCAAAACAAATGTATCCTGGGATATTTTTTCTTTTTTTAATTGTTTTTCAAGTACAGTTGTCTCCATTTTGCCCCTACCACTCCCCCACCTCAGCCATCCCCACCTCCTACCCTTAATTCTGCCCTCCTTTGGCTTTGTCTATGTGTCCTTTATACATGTTTTTTGATGACTCTTCCCTCTTTTCCCTGCAATACCCCCACCTACTTCCCCTCTGTTTACTGTCAGTTTGTTCTTTATTTCAATGTCTCTGGTTCTGTTTTGCTTGCTTGTTTGTTTTATTGATTAGGTTCCCCTTATAGGTGAGATCATATGGTATTTGTCTTTCACTGCATGGCTTATTTCACTCAGCAGAATGCTTTCCACTTCCATCTATGCTGTTGCAATGGGTAGGAGCTCCTTCTTTCTTTCTTCTGCATAGTATTCCATTGTGTAAATGTACCATAGTTTTTGATCCACTCATTTACTGATGAGCACTTAGGTTGCTTCCAGAACTTGGCTATTGTAAATTGTGCTGCCAGGAACATTGGGGTGCATAGGTTCTTTTGGATTGGTGTTTCACGGTTCTTAGGCTATAATCCTAGCAGTGGAATTGCTGGGTCAAAAGGCAGATCCATTTTTAGTTTTCTTAGAAAATTCCATACTGTTTTCCATAATGGTTGCAATCCCACCAACAGTGAACTAGGATCCCCTTTTCTCCACATCCTCTTCAACACTTGTTGTTTGTTGCTTTGTCTATGATGGCCATTTTGACTGGTGTGAGGTGGTATCTCATTGTGGTTTTAATTTGCATCTCTGATGGCTAGCAGTACTGAGCATCCTTTCATGTGTCTCTGGATCCTCTGTATGTCCTCCTGGGAGAAGTGTCTGTTCAAGTCTTTTGCCCATTTTTTAATTGGATTGTTTGTTTTCCTGGAGTGGAGTCATGTGAGTTCTTTATATATTTTGGAGATCAAACCCTTGTCTGAGGTGTCATTTGCAAATTTATATTCCCATTCATTTGGATACCTTTTCATTTTGCAATGTTTTCTTCAGCTGTGCAGAAGCTTTGTATTTTGATGAAGTCCCATTTGTTTATTCTTTTCTTTCTGTCCCTTGCTCTAGGGAACATATTAGTGAAAATATTGCTGTGTGGAACATCTGAGATTTTCCTCCCTATGTTCTACTCTAGGACTTTTATGGTGTTGTGACTTATATTTAAGTCTTTTATCCTCCCTCTTGATTTTATTTTTGTATATGGTGTTAGTTGGTGATTGAGTTTCTTTTCTTTTTTTTTTTGCATGCAGCTGTCCAGATCTCCCAGTACCATTTGTTCAAGAGGCTATTTTTACTACTTTTTATTCTTTTGTCCCCTTGGTCAATATTAATTGACCATAGAGCCTTGAGTTTATTTCTGGGCTTTCTTTTTTTTTTTTTTAATAACTTTATTTATTTATTTTTTTAAATATTTTATTATTTATTTATCTTTAGAGGGGAAGGGGGGGGGAGGAGAGAGGGAGAGAAACATCAATGTATGGTTGCCTTTTGTGCGTCCCCTGCTGGGGACTGGCCTGCAGGGAACCGGCCTGCAACCCAGGCATGTGCCCTGACTGGGAATCGAACCGCGATCGTGTGGTTCGCAGGCCCGCGCTCAATCCACTGAGCTACACCAGCCAGGGCTATTTCTGGGCTTTCTTTTCTGTTACTTTTACCTATGTGTCTGTTCTTATGCCACTACCAGACTGTTTTGATTACCATAGCCTTGTAATATAGTTTGATGTCAGGTATTGTGATCCATCCTACTTTTGCTTTCTCAAAATTGCTACAGCTGTTTGGGATTGTTTATAGTTTCATATAAATGTTTGAAATGTTCTGTATCTGTGAAATATGTCATTGGTATTTTAATAGGGATTGCATTCAATCTATACATTGCTTTAGATAATATGGCCATTTTGATAATGTTAATCCTTCCAATCCATGAACAGGGTATATGTTTCCATTTGTTTGTGGCTTCCTTAATTTCTTTCTTCAGTGTTGTATAGTTTTCTGAGTACAGGTCTTTTACCTTCTTGGTTAGGTTTATTCCTAGGTACTTTATCTTTCTTGTTGCTATATCAAATGGGATTTTTTCCCCTGATTTCTGTTGGTAATATTTTATTTGTGTGCAAAAATGCCTTCAATTTCTGAATATTGACTTTGTATCCCGCTGTTTTTCCCATTTCACTTATTTGGTCAAGTAGTTTTTTGATAGAGTATAGGATTTTCTATGTACACTATCATGTCATCTAGAATCAAAGACAGTTTTGTTTCCTCCTTTCCAATTTGGATACTTTTTTTTCTTTTTATTGTCTTCTGTGGCTAGGACTTATGATGCTGTGTTGAATAGGTGTGGTGAAAGTGGTTGTCCGTACTCGTTCCTGATCTTAGTGTGAAAGCTTTTAGTTTTTGCCCATTGACTATGATGTTGGCTGTAGGTTTCTCATATATGGCCTTTATTATGTTGAGGTATGCTCCCTCTACTCCCATTTTGCTAAGTGTTTTTATCATAAATGGGTATTGTACCTTATCAAATGCTTTTTTCTGCATCGGTTGGTATGATCATGATTTTTGCCTTTCCATTTGTTTATGTGGTATATTATGTTTATTGATTTGTGAATATTGTACCATGCTTGCATCCCTGGGATGAATCCCACCTGATCATGGTGTATGGTCTTTTTAATGTATTGCTAGATGTAGTTTTCCAATATTTGTTGAGGATTTTAGTGTCTATATTCATCAGAAATATTGGCCTGTAGTATTCTTTCTTTGTCATGTCTTTAGCTGGTTTTGGGATTAGGATGATGCTGGCTTCAGAAAAAGAATTTGGGAGTCTCACTTCTTCTTGGATTTTTTGGAAAAGTCTGTTAAAGATGGGGTTAGCCCTTCCTTAAAAGCTTTGTAACATTCTCCTGTGAAACTATCCAGTCCAGGGCTTTTGTGTGCCAGGAGTTTTTTGATTACTGCTTCGATTTTGCCAACTTGTTATTGGTCTCTTCAGGCTTTCTGTTTATTATTCATTCAGTTTTGGAATCTTAAACTTTTCTACAAATTTGTACATTTCACCCAGGTTTTCAAATTTCTTGGCATATAGTTGTTTGTAATAATTTCTTACAGTTTTTTGTATTTCTGTGGTGTTGGTTGTAATCTCTCCTTTTTTATTTCTGATTTTGTTTATTTGGGTCCTCTCTTATTTTCTTGATGAAGAAAAACCTGCTTAAAGGCTTGTTGATTCTGTTTATTTTTTCAACGAACCACCTCCTGGATTTATTCTTTGAATGGTTTTTAGTCTCTGTGTCATTTAACTCTGCTCTGATCTTTGTTATTTCCTTTCTTTTACTCGCTGTGGACTTTGTTTGTTGTTGTTCCTTCAGTTCTTATAGATGTAGGGTTAGGTTCTTCATTTGAAATGTTTCTGTCTGTTTTAAGTAGGCCTGTATTATTATGAACTTCGCTCTCAAAACTGGATTTTTTAAAAAAAAATTTGTGACAATAATTTTGTGATTGTTTATGACCAGAAAGCCATCACTGCTCAGGTAGAAGAGAGGCGTAGGAAGAGGCAGTTGCAAGAAGAACAGAGAAAGAAGGAAGAACAGGAAGAGGAGCTTCGTTTAGCCCGGGAACGAGAAGAGATGCAGAAGCAGTATGAAGAAGACATACTTAAGCAGAAACAAAAGGAAGTAGGTATTTATGTTCTAATTGTAACATTTTAGAGTAAAAATGGATGTTCTTAAAAACTGTGAAGCTCTATGAGGAAACATTAAAGCTTTGCATAAAGAAAGTTGTGAAAATTAGGGAGGAATTTGGAGGTTTTATTTCACATGATTATTTCACAAATGCTATATTGCTTGGTGTTTTTCTTCTTAGAAAGAAGACAAAATGAGTTCTTATAGCACAAAACAGCAGTTATCCATGGTCTTGATTTTGACATGTTTTCTAAGCAATTATTATATTAATAAATGTTTTAGAAATGTTAAGAAAAATAATTGGCCTTTCTGTATCCTCTTGTGAATAGAAGTATATATTTGCAGAGTGATTGACTGAGATTGATGATACAATTTGTTGCTGTGTTAGAGGTTTTCTCTGTGCTAAATAAAGGTGTTTTAAAAAGAGTAGATGTTTGATTGACTAGGAGCATCCCTAACAGAGGTGTCTAACCTTTTGTCATCTCTGGGCCACATTGGAAAAAGAGTTGTATTGGGCCACACATTAAATACATTGTGACATATAATCACCAAAGAAATCTCAAAATATTTTAAGCAAATTTATGATTTTATGTTGGGCCACATGTGGCCCATGGGCCATGGGTTGGACACCCCTGCTATAAGAGGTATAGACAGTATAGTTTATTTTGGTGTTAAGCTGAACTGACAAAGAACAACTCACACTATCACATCAGTTGCTGAAGATTCTTGAGGTTTACAAAGTAGAATACAGAGCACTTCCCCTGGAGTTGGGAGGTAAGACTGAGCCCTTTCATTTTCTCACCCTTTCCATTTGCAACCTTTACCCCAAAATTAGTTGATGAAGTGGCACATGGTCTGGGTTTTGACTTCATTATATTGAATAGGCTGAGCCGACTACTCACTCAAAGTATCATTTGTTTGAATTGAAATAAATGGCCACAGACTTTGTGTTTTATCTCTTAATAAACTATTTTTAATCTCAATAGAAATCTGATGGAATGGACCATTGGTTTAGAAACTTTGAAAGCTTTATTGGTATGAACTTGAATGTAAAAGTGTTCTTATGTATGTGGACTAAGGGAGCTGTAACAAAGATTAGACTTCTGCTCAAAATGTTGGAGTAGGTAAACACTGTGCTCATCTCCTCCTATGATCACATCCAGATTAAACTACACTACGGTGGTCATCAATAACTGCCTGAAGTCTAGCCAAACAGAAGTCCTGTAACTAAGGCCATACAGAAGAAGTCAGGTGGAGACTAGTAGGAGGAGCAGAGACATGGAATGGCCTCCTCCCATGCCTACATTTGGTGGTTAAAAATTGGGAAGGCTATCTCAGCTGTGGAGGTCCCCCTGAGGAACAAGCATTTCCAGCTCAATGCCAGGCTTCTAGCCCACAGTTCCATTGCTGGGAAGAAGTCCCTGTAACTTCTGCTGTGAAACCAGTGGAGATTGTGGTCTGAGGCGAAGTGAAGTGGAGGTCGTCTAGAATTGCTGAGCCCATTCATAGACTTACTCGCTAAGAGATTCACTTGTTCTGATCTCCAGCCTTAGGGCAGCAGCTTGAAAAGTGCCAGGGTAGAACTGAATTGTCTGGGTTTGTGGCAAGGGCTGGAGGGGCAGCTTTCTCCCAGACAGAAGTGCTGGCAGAAGCCATTATTCATTTGTTGTGCCCAACCCACACCCAGCCTGCAGGCTTAAATGGATGCCAGATCTGAAGCTCCATCAACCTAACACCATTCACAGTGCCTGGTGAGTCTCTGAGACCCTGTTCCACCCAACTTTTGGGCCCACCTAAGTTGCTTCCATTTTCCATACAAATGGCCTGTGTTGGCTTGTGGTGTGGACTTTTCTAAAATCTCTCAAGGGTTCACAAACTCCAGACAAATGGCATCTGGCTTCAAAGTGTTCTGTACCTGTTGCTAGGCAGCCCCAAGCCCGGCACTAGCAGCAGCCTGCCTCAGTTTGCAGCTTATCCTCTTCTATGCACCTTCACACCCAGCACAAGTTGCAGGCATCTTATACAGTGTCCCTGGGCAGAGCATAATCACTGACCTTTGCCTGCACCAGAGGCCCCAGAACCAACATACCCTGTGGCCAGCTTCAGACTATACCGGAGTACCACTCAACCATCTCCACAAACTATGCACCCAAAGGGCAGACTCTGCAGACACCAGTGGCCCACTAAAGAGAATTTTGCTTTATAGGGCCAACACCTACACAACACTTCCTCTGCTGTGGACCTGGCCAGTCCTCACAACCAATCAGTGAGACTCGGTTCCACCAAATGATGAGCCAACAGCAATGAAGACTCAACTACAACAGGAGAATGCACCCTACTTACACAGGAGACACACCTGGAGCACCTGGCTCAGGTGACTGGTAGACTGAGCCACTGGGCCTCATAGGACACCTACTACAAAAGGTCACATTATCAAGACTGGGAGATGTGGCAGCTCTATGTAATACATAGAAACAAACGCAGGGAGGCAGCCAAAATGAGGAGACAAAGAAACATGTCCCAAATGAAAGAACAGAACAAAACTACAGAAAAAAAAAAAACTAAAGAAAATGGAGACATGCAGTCTATTAGATGCTGAGTCCAAAACACTGGCTATAAGGATGTTCAGTGAAATTCAGGGAAAAATAGATAATCTCAGTGAGAACTCCAACAAAAAGATAGGAAACATAAAAATGATGATAGAAAATATAAGAAAGAACCATTCAGAAGTGTAGAATAAAGTAACTGAAATGAAAAATATATTAGAGGTAATAACAGTAGATCAGGTGAAGCAGATGAAGCAGAGGATTGACCCTACAATTTGGATGACAAGGTAGCAGAAAACATCCAGTCAGAACAGCATAAAGAAAACATCCAAAAAAATGAAGCTAGTTGAAGGGGCCTCTGGGACGACTTCAAGTGTACTAACATTTGTATCATAGGGTTACCAGAACGAAAAGAAAGAGCAAGAAATTTAAAACTAATTTGAAGAAATAATGATGGAAAACTTCTTTCACCTGGTAAAGAATGTGGACGTATATGTCTAGGAAGCACAGAGATTCCTAAACAAGAATGAACTCAAGCCCATACTAACATATATCATAATTAAAATGTCAAAGGTTAAGTATAAAGAGATTTTTTTAAGCATCAAGACAAAAATTAGTTACCTACAAGGGAACTCCCATAAGCCTATCAGCTGATTTCTCAACAGAAACTTGCAGGCCAAAAGGGATTCAAAATATTCAAAGTGGTGAAAAGCAAGGACCTACAACCAAGAATACTCTACCCAGGAAAGCTATCATTTAGAATCAAAGGACAGATAAGAAGCTTCCCAGACAAGAAAAAGTTAAAGGAGTTCATCATCAAACCACTATTATAAGAAATGTTCAAGGGACTTCAGTAAAAAGAAGGAAAGTACAAATATAAAAAGTATGAATAATAAAATGTTCATAACTACATACCTACCAATTATTACTTTAAATGCAAATGGATTAAATGCTCCAATCAAAAGACATAGGGTGGCTGAATGGAAAAGAAAACAAGACCCAGACATATATTACCTACAAGAGACCCACTTCAGATCAAAAGTCACAGACTGAAAGTAAATGGATAGAAAAAGATATTTCATGTACTGGAAACAAACAAACAAAAAAGCTGGGGTAGTAACACTTGTATCAGACAAAGTAGAGTATAAAACAAAGACTGTATCAAGATACAAAGAAGGACTCAGCAATTCCATATCTGGGTGTTGATCTGAAGAAACTCCAAACACTAATTGAAAAAGTCCTGTTCATCTCCATGTTCATTGCAGCATTATTTACAGTAGCCAAGATATGAAAGCAGCTTAGGTGTTCATCAGTAGGTGAATGTTTAAAAAAGAGGTGGTATGTATATATACAATGAATTATTACTTAGCCACAAAGAACAGAATCTTGCCATTTGTGATGACATGGATAGACCTAGACAGAATTATGTTAAATGAAATGAGTCAGAAAAAGAAAAATACTATATGATTTCACTTACATGTGGAATCTGAAAAACAAAATAAACAGAGATTCAAAGATACAGAGAACAGCCCTGGCTGGTGTAGCTCAGTGGATTGAGCGTGGGCCTGTGAACCAGAGTACTGCGGTTCGATTCCCGGTCAGGGCACATGCCTGGGTTGCAGGCCAGTTCCCAGCAGGGGACTCACGAGAGGCAACCATACATTGATATTTCTCTTCTCTCCTTCCCTTCCTCTCTAAAGATAAATAAATAAGATATTTAGGGGAAAAAAAAGATACAGAGAACATTTTGATGATTTGTCAAATGTGGGAGGGCTGAGTGAAAAAGGGGAAGGGATTAAGATATGCAAATTGTCAGAAAAAGAGTCACTGGGATGTAAAGTATAGCACAGGGGCTATTGTCAATAACATTGCAATAACCGTGATGTCAGATGGGTTCTAGAATTATGGGGAAGATCACATTCTAAGTTACATAAATGTGTAATCACTCTGTTTTACCTGAAACTGATATATTGTAAATCAACTATAATTGAAAAAATTTTAAATTATTGAATATTGAAAAATTAAAATCTCATAAATCAACAACAGAAAGATAGAAACCTAATAAAAGAATGAGCAAAAGCCCACTTCCGCCAAGATGGAGGCATAGGTGGAAACACTGTACCTTCTTGCACAACCAAGTTTAAAGACAACAAAGTTTTAGTAACAAAAAATGCAGCCAAAACACAGAAGATTGAACTATACAGAAGTCGGAAGACAACGAACCAATCAGCCAGACTGGTAAGAGGCGCGGAGCTGGCAGCAGAGCGGGATGGAGCAGGAAAGATCCACCGACCCAGGCGTGCAGGCAGCTGTGGGCGGATCCCAGGCGTGCGGTGGCAACAGGCAGACCCAGTGAGGGCGCAAGGTGACTAGCTGACCGTAGTCACACCTTCGAGCGCAGATAAACCAGGGAAGAGTGAGCAGTGAGACAGACCACGCAGGCCCCAGTGGTGGGAAACAGCAGAGGGGACCCACCATTGCCCCTCTTTGACCCCTCCCCCACATACAGCATCACAACCCAGCGACTGAGTTGCCACGCCCTCGTGAACACCTATGGCTCCCCTCCTCATACATAACAGGTGTGAACACACCAAAACATGGTTCAAGAAGAACTCAAAGCCCCAGAACCGATAAATCAAAGCAACCAAGAAATAGCCAAACTTTCAGATGCACAGTTCAAAACACTAGTGATCAGGATGCTCACAGAACTGGTTGATTTTAGTCACAAATTAGAGGAACAAATGAAGGCTAAACTGATTGAAATGAAGGGAAATGCACAGGAAAACAATAGTGATGAAAAGGAAACTGGGACTCAGATCAAGGGAGTGTACCAGAAGGAAGAAAAAAATGACCAAACAGAAAAGAATGAAGAAACAAGAATTCAAAAAACTGAGGAGGGGCTTAGGAACCTCCAGGACGTCTTTAAACACTCCAACATCCGAATTATAGGGGTCCCAGAAGGGGAAGAGAGAGCAAGTGGAAAACTTATTTGAACAAATAATAAAAGAGAACTTCCCCAATCTGGCAAAGGCAATAGACTTCTAGGAAATCCAGGAAGCTCAGAGAGTCCCAAAGAAGTTGGACCCAAGAAGGAACACACCAAGGCACATCATTATTACATTAGCCAAGATTAAAATGAAGGAGAGAATCCTACAAGCAGCAAGAGAGAAGGGGACAGTCACCTACAAAGAAGTTCCCATCAGACTGTCAGCGGATTTTTCAAAAGAGACCTTACAGGCAAGAAGGGGCTGGAAAGAAGTATTCCAAGTCATGAAATCCAAAGACCTACAACCAAGATTGCTCTATCCAGCAAAGCTTTCATTTAGAATGGAAGGACAGATAAAGTGCTTCTCAGAAAAGATCAAATTCAAGGAGTTCATCATCACCAAGCCCTTATTATATGAAATGTTAAAGAGGCTTATCTAAGAAAAAGAAGATAAAAAAGATGAACAGTGAAAGGACAGCAAACTCACAGTTATTAAGAACCACACCTAAAGCAAAAGCAAACTAAGAGGACAGTTAGATCAGGAGCGGAACCACAGAAATGAAGAGCTCATGGTGGGTTAGCAACAAGGGAGTGGGAGGAGGAGAAGGGGGATTAGGTACAGAAAATATGTAGCGTAGACGATAGGTAGAAAATAGGTGGGGGGGAGGGTAAGAATAGAAGGGGAAATATAGAATAAAGAACTTGAGACGTGGTCATAAACTAGAGGGGCGGATGGTGGGGGAGAGGGTGTGCAGGGTGGAGGGGAATGAAGGGGGTCAAATAGAACTACTGTAAATGAGCAAAAGACTGGAACAAGTAATTAACCATTTTACAAAAGAAAACAGCCAATGAATATTTTAAAAGAAGCTTATTCTCATTAGTTATCAGTGAAGTGTAAATTAAAACCACAGTGAAATGCCATTTTATATCCAACAGAATGGCTAAAATTAAAAAGTCTAACATTGCATCCTGGCTGGTATAGCTCAGTGGATTCAGTGCCGGCCTGCAAAGTAAAATGTTGCCAGTTTGATTTCCAGTCAGGGCACTTGCCTGGGTTGCAAGCCAGGTCCCCAGTAGGGGGCACTTGAGAGTCAACCACATACTGATGTTTCTCTCCTCTTTCTCCCTTTCTTTCCCTCTCTCTAAAAATAATTAACAAAAACGTTTTTAAAATAATTATTCTCGTTTAAAATAATAAAAATAAAAAGACTAATACTGCTTTTTAAAAAGTTGTTAAAATGTAAGCTTCAAAAGGGAAGGAATTTGCCCTGTTGACTTTTAGTCCTAGTATTCCTAGTATCTTTTATTTCTAGTATCATTTTTGAAATATATTTTATTAGTTATGCTATTACAGTTGTCCCATTTCCCACCTTCATTGCACTCCACCCTCACCCTGCACACCCCCTTCCACCCATATTCACCCCCTTTACTTCATTTCCATGTGTCATAAGTTCCTTAGCTTCTACATTTCCCATATTTTTCTTGCCCTCCCCCTGTCTATTTTCTCCCTTATTCTCTGTACCTTTTCCCCTTCTCTCCTCCTCCCACTCCCTTGTTGCTAACCCTCCATGTGCTTTCCTTTTTTGTGATTCTGTTCCTATTCTAGTTGTTTGCTTAGTTTGTTTTTGTTTTAGGTATGATTGTTTTTTTTTCTTTTTTAAATTTAATTATTTTTCAAGTACAGTTTTCTGTCTGTTTCTCCCATCCCAGCTCATCCCGCCTTGTGCTCCCCACCTCCCTCCCATTTCCACCCCCCTTAATTATTGTCCCTGTGTCCTTTATACTTGTTCCTCTAAATTAGGTGTGATTGTTAATAACTGAGTTTGCTGCCTTTTTACAGTTTATATTGTTTATATTTTTATTTTCTTATTCTTAGATAAATCCCTTTAACATTTCATAAAATAAGGGCTTGGTGATGATGAACTCCTTTACCTTGACCTTATCTGGGAAGCACTTTATCTGCCCTTCCATTCTAAATGAAAGCTTTGCTGGATAGAGCCATTTTGAATGTAGGTACTTGCCTTTCATGACTTAGAATACTTCTTTCTAGCCACTTCTTGCCTTGAAGGTCTCTTTTGAGAAGTCAGTTGACAGTCTGATGGGCACTCCTTTGTAGGTGTCCTTTGTCCCCTTATCTCTTGCTGCTTCAAGAATTCTCTTCTTCATTTTGATCTTGGGTAATGTAATTATGGTGTGCCTTGGTGTATTCCTCCTTGGATCCAACTTCTTTGGGACTCTGTGAGCTTCCTGGACTTCCTGGAAGTTTATTTCCTTCACCAGATTGGGGAAGTTCTCCTTTATTATTTGTTCAAATAAGTTTTCCACTTGTTGCTCTTCCTCTTCCCCTTCTGGTATCCCTATAATTCGGATGTTGGAAAGTTTAAAGATGTCCTGGAGGTTTCTAAGCCTCTTCTCATTTTTTTGAATTATTGTTTCTTCATTCTGTTCTGGTTGGATGTTTCTTTCTCCCTTCTGAATCACTCCATTCATGTGAGTTCCAGTTTTCTTTCCATCACTATTGGTTCCCTGTGCATTTTCCTTCATTTCCCTTAGTGTAGCCTTAATTTTTTCATCTTACTTGCAACCAAAATCAACCAGTTCTGTGAGCATCTTGATCACCAGTGCTTTGAACTGTGCATCTGATCAAGGTTGGCTATCTCTTGGTCGCTTAAAAGTATTGGCTCTGGGGCTTTGATTTGTTCTTGCTTTTGATCCATTTTGGGGGTGGGGTCTGGTCGTGCCTGTTATGCAGTAAGGAGCGGAGCCTTAGGTATTCACCCCTGAGGGGTAACCAGTGGCTTGGTTGTGACTCTGTATGTGGGGGCAGGGTCAGAGAGGGACCAGTGGCGCATCCTCTGCTCTCTCAGATTTCAGTACCCTTTGTTGCTTTCCACAAGCAAACCGGGTCCTTCTGGTACTGGTTCCTAGGTGCGTGGGCTTGTGTATGTTCTAAGACCCTGCGGGTCTCTCCAATGAACTCTCCTGTGAGGAGAGGAGTCTCTCCCGGTGCTTCACCCCCCATAAGTGTTTTCATCTGTCCTTTTAGGCTTTATTTTCTGGCACCGTGGCCCTGCGTTGCGTGGTCTGTCTCGCTGCCTGTTTTTGCTTGGTTATCTGCATGCGAATGTATGACCTCAGTCTGCTGGCCACCTTGTGTGCCTCACTGATTCTGCTCATTGCCTCTCCTCATCCGGGGTCTGCTAGCCATCGCCTGCATGCCCGGGTTGCCAACCCCTGTTTTTTCCTGCCTCGACCCCTCTCCACTTGGCCACCAACTCCGCCCCTCTTACTGGTCTGGATGAATGGTTGTCAGACTTCCATACACTTCAATTTTCTGTTCGTTGGTTATCTTTTTGTTTCTAAATTTTTGTTATCCTTAATTTTGGTTGTGCAGGGAGGCACAGTGTGTACGCCTATGCCTCCATCTTGGCCAGAAGGTATTCCTAGTATCTTGAATATAGCCTTGCACATAGTAGGAGCTGAGAAAATATCTGCTGAGAGAAAATAGTCACGTTTGTATGTGTTTGATAATTTATTTAATGAATATTTGCACTTTATTATTAATAGGAAATTATAACTCTCAAGACAAATGAACTATTCCAGACGATGCAGAGAGCACAGGAGCTGGCACAGAGACTGAAACAAGAACAAAGAATTCGAGAATTGGCTCAAAAGGGACATGACACTTCTAGATTGATTAAAAATCTTGGTGGTAAGCACTTAACTAGAATTTTATTTATAATATTTGTAGTTGATTTTAAATGACTTTTTAATACCTTTAACACATCTATTAACTAAGTATTTTTAAAGGAATTTTAAACCTTGAACTAATAATGCATTTTGGGGGTGGGGGGAATTACATTAAGACTATAGCTGTTTTCACATAATTTTCTTATTTTGCTCACAGTAGGTAAAATGATTACTTTTGTACCATTTTTTATGGAGACATCTGTTAAGTGGTATTCCTATATTCAATAAGGGATAATATGAATGAGGGTAACTTTTTCTAAGAAGTGTTAGGCTAGCCCTTCTAAATATTTTTCATTGTTCATATTGATTAGTTAACAGTCTTGTTCATGTTTAGTTTCTGCTACTCATAATTTTACTATTCCTCAACTCTCATTTATCCTATTCATTTCTTTTGCTAGTTAATTCAGTACAAGTGGAATTTAATGAATCTACTAACAACATTTCAAATTCAAGACATAGCTTGGATGAAGTCAGTGATAAAATGAATACATCTATTAGTTTTATGAACTCTTCTAAGAAGGATACTGGTGTGCAAACAGGTATTTGTTTAGAAATTACTATTTGGTTTAAAATTTACTTAAAATGAAGTCAGAATTGGAATCAAGTTCAGTTAATTTAAAATTTAAAAATTAAAGAAATTGAAGATTTTTAATAAGTTAAAAAGTAAAAGGATATCTTGATTTTTTAAATTTTCTATAACAACTTTACTGAGATATAATTCATATAGCATAAAATTAACCCTTTTTACAATTCAGGTGTTTTTATTTTATTTACTTTTTAAAAGATTTTCTTTATCTATCTTTAGAAAGAGGGGAAGGGAGGTAGAAAGAAAGGGAGAGAAACATCAATGTGTGGTTGCCTCTCATGTGACCCCTACTGGGAATCTGGCCTGCAACCCAGGCATGTGCCCTGGCTGGGAATCAGACCAACAACCCTTTGGTTCACAAGCCGGCACTCAATCCACTGAGCCACACCAGCCAGGGACAGTTCAGTGTTTTTTTCAGAGTTCAGTTTAGTTTTTATATTCAGAGTTGTACAACCATCATTACGGTGAATTTTAGAACATTTATTTTTATTTTTATTTATTTATTTTTAATATTTTATTTATTTATTTTTAGAGAGAGGGGAAGGGAAGGAGAAAGAGTGGGAGAGAAACATCAATGTGTGGTTGCTCTCTTGAGTCCCCTGCTGGGAACTGGCCTGCAACCCAGGCATGTGCCCTGACTGGGAATCGAACCGCGATACTCTGGTTCGCAGGCCCGCGCTCAATACACTGAGCTACGCCAGCCAGGGCTTTATTTTTTTTAAGATTTTATTTGTTTATCTTTAGAGGGGAAGGGAAGGAGAGAGGGAGAGAAACATCAATGTATGGTTGCCTTCGTGCATCCCCTGCTGGGAACTGGCCTGCAACCAAGGCATGTGCTCTGACTGGGAATCGAACCATGATTGTCTGGTTCGCAGGTCCGTGCTCAATCCACTGAGCTACACCAGCCAGGGTGAATTTTAGAACATTTTTATCATTCCAAAAAGAAATCCAGTACCCGTCAATAGTCACTCTCCATTTCCTTTCTCTTCTCCATTCCTAGGCAACCACTAATCTACTTTCTGTCTATAGATTTGCCTATTCAAGACATTTCATATAATTGGAATCCTACCCATTGTGGGGTCTATTGTGTCTGGATTGTTTATACATAGCATAGTATTTTAAGGTTCATCCATGTTGTATCATGTATTAGTACTTCATTTTTATCACTGAATAATACTCATTTTATGGATCTCCCACAATTTGTTTATTCCTTCACCATTTAATGCACATTTGGGTTATTTCTACTTTTTGGCTATTGTGAGTATGCCACTATGAACATTCATGTGCAAATTACTGTGTAGACATAAATTTTCAGATCTCTTGGAATAAACCAGTAGCATTGCTAAGCCATATAGTAACAATATGTTTAGCATTTAGAGGAACTACCAAACTTTTCCAAAGCAGCAGTACCATTTTATATTTCCACTCACAATGTTTGAGTTTTCCAATTACTCTATGTCGTTGTTCACAATTATAATCCTTATGGTAATAAAGTGGCTTCTCATTGTGGTTTTGATTTGCATTTCCCCAGTGACTAATGATGTTGAGCATATTTTCATTTGCTCATTTAAAATTTTTACATAGGTAATAAGGTAATATCCATAGTGGGCACCATTATCATAGGTCTTCATGCTTACTATACATTCTTTTAGGCCTCCACATATCTGTCTCAGAAATCTTTTTTTTTTTTAAATAACTTCCAGGCAATCTCTTCACCTTTTCATTTTTCTCATTCAGGGTATAACTGACATGTAACATTAGTTCAGGTGTATAATACCATGATTTAATATTTGTATGTATTTCAAAATAATTACCACAAGAAATCTAGTTAACATTTATCACCATACAGAGTTAACAATTTTTTTCTTTTGATGAGAACTTTTAAAAAGTACTCTTACCAATTTATAAATGTTCAATACAGTATTTTTATTATTACTTGGTACAGCATTATTATTTTGAAACCTCACCCAATTTTATTGATTTTTAGAGAGACAGAGAGAAAAAAAACCATCCATGAGAGAGAGAAACATCCACTGGTTGCTTCCCGTATGTGCTCTTACTGTAAATAGAACCCACAACCTATCCATATGCCCTGACAGTGGATGAGCCCACAGCTTTTTGTTGTATGAGATGATGCTGTAACCAACTGAGCCATCAAGCCAGGGAATACAGTATTATTAATTCAATTGACCCTTAAACAACATGGGTTTGAACTGCCCTGGTCCAATTATGTATGGGTTTTTTGTTGTTGTTTTTTTTTCAGTTGACCTGTATAGTTAAGTTGACCCATGCAGTTCAAGCCCCTGTTCAAGGGTCAGTCCACAGTTGGGAATCTGTGAATGTGTACGGCCAGTTGCAATTATATGTGGATTTTCAGTTGTGCAGGAGAATGGTACCACTAACCTTTACATTGTTCAAGGGTCAGGTATAGTCACCATGTTACTGAACAAAACAAAAAAAAAAGGCAGAGGTTCAGCTACCTGCTAGAACAAAAGCCAAACTCGAGAGGCAGGTGCTGATGCAAAAGGAAAGAAGTTTGATTTGTATGCCATGCCATCTTGAAGAATGGGGAACTCCCCATCTCTTAGCTCATCTCCTCTTAGTAACCCATCCTCAGCAAAACCAGGACAAAGGAAAGTGCCCAGAGTTCCTGCTCTATTTTAAAGTATTGTCCTTTGGGGCCAGCAGGTGGCTGCTAAGTGCTGGTCGAGGTAGCTTAGCTTGTTCCCAGCTGCTGTTGGGCATCAGGCTCCCTCCTGGAGGCTGCATGTGGAGCCAGTGTGGTCATGGCCATGCTGCTTCTAGGGCCATAAGGTCACATGCTTCCAAATGAAAGCACACACAAACACCCTGGTAAATGCTTCACCAGGTCAGCAAGAGAAAGAGCAAAACTCCCTCCTGGAGGTCATGGGCCACGCAGCTACTAAAGCCACATGGCCCATGGAGGGCCCACCAGTGTACCCACTGGGTGCAGGTTCCAAGCAGTGAGCCATAAGCAAGACCTAGAGCTTTTCTTTGTTCTCCAACCTGGGATGGGCCAGGTACTTTCTCAGGATGACCAATTAACTTCCTAAACTTTCGGGTGCTGTGGGTGGGTCTGCCTCCCAACCAATCTCCTCTTTACCCAGGCTAGATTGATAGTGGTCTAGGGCCACCCCCTGCTGCCATTCTGACTTACATGGCGCATGTACCTGCCTTTCCCTGGGTCCACCCCAATCTAGTCCTGGAAGGATGAGCATAGGGTTTTCCCCCTTATTCAATTATTTTTCTAGATCTTGGTGTACCCGGTGCCCTAATCCATTCATCATTAGAGGTGAAGGCTTGTTTGGACCCTATCATTTTTCTAGCCCCAGGCATGCTTGGGCTCCATCTGTTCATCTTTCCAGCTCTCCCCGCGTACTTGGGCCATGTCCATTCATTTTCTAGCTTTCAGCACACTCAATTTAAGAACCTCCCCCTGCTGCCATCTCAGCTGGTCGAGGGGACTGCCCTGACTCTGATCCATTCAAGGCTGCCTGGCTTCCTTGCCCTTGAGGCCTCAGGCTATGCTGAGGTGGCTCTGTACCTAGTCTAATGCTTAGGTACAGCTGGGCCCCATGTGGGGGTTGGAGGGAGGTGGTGCCCTGCCACTTGTGGTGTCTGTCAGGGTTCCCACTGCCTCTGGGCCAGGCAGTTGCACAGCTAGGATGCTGCAGTCAGCTGAACTTGAGGGCTCTGTGCCTCACCCCCAGAGAGACACCCTCTTCTCCTTGCTGCTTGTCATAGTCTGGCAAGTGTCAGCATCTTGGCTCGCAGAGAAGTGGCAGACCAAGAGTATGGGCTTATCTACCAGTAACAACCATGTTGTACATTATGTCTCCATTTTCTTATTTTATAACTAGTAGTTTGTTCCTTTTGACCTCCACCAATTTTACTCACTTGCACTACCACACCAAATCTATTCTCTTTGTCTATGAACTTTGTTTTATATGCCACATATAAGTAAGATTATATGGTACTTGTCTTTCTCTGACTCATACCTCTATCATGTCCTCAGGATTTTACTTTTTTATGGCTGAATAATAGTCTATCTATTGTGTGTATCACACATATCTATATGTATTCATATATGCACATACATACCAAATTTCTTTACCTGTTCATTTATCCATGGATACTTAAGTTGCTTCCATGTCTTAGCTATTATAAATAATGCTGCATATGTTCTTTTGAATTAGTGTTTTGGGCGTCTTCAGTCATATGCTCAGAAGTGGGATTGCTGGTTCAAAGCACAGAACGTTTTTTTTTTTTTTTTGAGGTATCTCCACACTCCACAGTGGCTGCACCAGTCTGCATTCCCAGCAATAGTGCACAAGGTTTCTTTTTTCTCCACATCCTTTCAACATCTATTTCTTGTCTTATTGATAATAGACATTCTAACAGACATTCTAACAGATGTATGGTGATATCTCACTGTGGCTTTATTTTCACTTCCCTGATAATTAGTGATGTTAACATCCTTTCAGGTACCTATTGGCCATCATATGTCATCTTTGGAGAAATGCTAGTTTAGATTTTCTGCCCGTATTTTCATCAGATTATTATATCTGTGAGGGTTTTTTCACTGTTATATGAATTCTTGTAATTTTCAATATTTTTCTTCCACTCAGTAGGTTGCCTTTCATTTTATTGATGGTTTCCTTTGCTGTGCAGAAGCTTTATAGTTTGATGAAATCCCTCTTGTTTACTTCACTTTTGGTACTTTTGCTTTTAGTATCAGATCCAAAAATGATCACCATTACTGATGTCAAGGAATTTACCGTCTATGTTGTCTTGGAGTTTTATGGTTTCAGGTCTTATAATCAAGCCTTTAATCAATTTGGATTTAATTTTTGTATATGATACAAGACAAGGGTACCCAACCTCTAGTCTGTGGACTTGTACCTGTTCATGCCTATTAGGAATTGGACCACA